ATCTAAAAGGCCTATCATTGTGCTTCCTGTATATAATCAAAGATAGTAAACACAGTTTTTTCACCCCTATAAAGGCTTGTCAGCCTGATATACAGCAGTTAACTTTGACCAGCAAAACTGGTGCATATATTTAAACAGTAGTTATACTTAAGTAATAAGTGATTTCTTGCCTAAAAAAAGTTATTTGAAAAAAATCATTTCACACCTTTGTGGATTAAAATTCTGTAAAGATGAAAACATATTGTATTTATGTCTTCACTTTCAATATTTAGAACTAGATGTATTGATTCGATCTACCTTAAATGTTTAATTGAATAATATTACATTAATGCATTACACTTAAACTGGAAAAATTTTCTTATCAAGCAATGTTATACTTGTATGCAATACAGTTTGCTTTTTGTGGCACTGTGGCTCGTTGTGTAGCTCGCTTGTTTGCTGTCCGTGAGAGTCTGGGTTCAAATCCGCCGTATGAAGTGCAATCGCTGAAGATCTGGGTTCAGGACCGCGGACTGCAGAGACTTTTTATAGCCAGCAGCCATATCACCCAGCAACTCACAACTGGCAACCCACTGAAGCTAAGCAGATGTGAGCCTGGTCAGTACCTGGATGGGAGAACTACTGGGAAAAACTAAGGTTGTTGCTGGAAGAGGTGTTAGTGGGGCCAGCAGGGGGTGCTCACCCTGCGGTCCATGTGGGTCCTAATGCCCCAGTATAGTGAAGGGGACACTATACTGTAAAAGGTGCCGTTCTTCGGATGTGACGTAACACCAAGGTCTTGACTCTCTGTGGTCATTAAAAATCCCAGGGTGTTTCTCGAAAAGAGTACGGGTGTAACCCCGGTGTCCTGGACAAATTTCCCATTGGCCCTTACCTGTCATGGCCCCCTAATAATCCCCATTGGCTTCATTACTCTGCTCTCCTCCTCACTGATAGCTGATGTGTGGTGAGCATTCTGGCACACTATGGCTGCTGTCGCATCATCCAGGTGGATGCTGCACATTGGTGGTGGTGGAGGGGAGTCCCCATTGCCTGTAAAGCGCTTTGAGTGGAGTATCCAGAAAATGCTTTATAAGTGTAAGCAATTATTATTATTAGTATTATTATTAGTAGTATTATTATTATTATTACTTAGATTGTAAAACTATTTCTTGTTTTATTCCTTTTTTGATAAATATTATCATTTATTCTAGCATACAAACAGTAATTCAGGCTAATACTTTAGAGGTCTCAGATACTACTGTAGATGTTAAAAGTTGTTGTAGCTCATTTTCACAAATTCCTGATTTTTATTCTCAGATTAATGACTGCTTTAACAGTTTTTATATGTTCATTTGGGGATAAATTAATAACATTCAAGATAGCTTTCAAATACACATTGCTTTCCTTGACAAAGCTAGAAGGGATACATACAGAAGAAACTGTAAGAAACTACAGGATAATTTGTTGCAAATATTTAATTGACAATCTATTAGCTACAGTATGTTCAAAGAGAAAACAAAAATGCAAGCCATTAGTTATTTTTATATTAGAATTTGAATGAGTAAAATTATTAACCTTTAAAATTATTAATCTCTACCTTTTATATTATATGTACTGTGCCTTGCTTTCCCTATGTATTCAGAAGTACAATTCTTTGGTGGTACTGTATCTACTGTAGTTACAGACATTTAATAAGTTTATCCTGATAGATGTGTACTTTGTAGCACGCAAATTATGATTTTAGCTTAATGGATATGTAGTGAGAAAAACTATTTAGGTTTTTGTAGACTCTGCTCACTTTGAATTTAATACTGCTAAATTATATTGTAAATTTGATTTCTTAGAAACTGACCTGTATAAATAACAGTAAAATGTGTTACAATGATTGAGTGTACTACTGGAGGCTTTGTCAATAGCTGTAACATATAGAAACATCCTATAACTCCTTAGTGCATCTGAGATAACTAAACCTTTTACATGTATTGGTGGGGGCTGTGTGGAGTCGGGATTAGGACTCTGGTCACACAAACTTCAGGTTTACCCCCATTGTTCCTGTCCTCCTGCTGTACAAAGCGATGTCCTGATTTGTCGAAACTCACCCTGCAATGAAATGGCATCCTTTTTCTGGGGGAGGAGGATACATTTTAATTTTCTCTCTGCCTTTTGCCAAGAAATTCAGGATATCCTCTTTTCTGAATATTCTCCACGTTCTAATATGGGCTGTGTGTCTAAGAATATATATTGCAGCTCTTTTATTTTAGAAAAACAGACATTATCAATAACTGGACAATCTGTAAAAATATCACACAAGTCAATCAATAGTGTATAAACACTACATTTGAAAAACCCTTTTTGATTGATTTTCTTACAAATCAAACAAAGCATAATGTAGAAATGTCGGAATATATGCAAAGATATGTGCCACTCCAAAAAGATTCCCCACTGTACTGTATCTGCACAACGTTAACGCACCACAGTAAAAAAGTCCACCTAATCATCAAAACATGTAAATGATTGAGTGGTTTCAGCAAATTGCAAATTATGTATGGGTCCTGACGGGAAGCATTTCAAGCAGAATTTAACAGTATCTATTCTGTTATGTTAACTAGGTTAATAAGCCTGGCAGATCTGTCTGTTATGTTATTGCTTCAGTAAACTCCAGTGTTTTGCCCATAATGGCAAAATTTTAATCACATTCTGTTGTAAGTGTTCTAGCAGTGACATTTCAACATATTTTCCAGAATGCGTTACTATACCTATAATTTAGAAATTAAGTTAAAATTAAGTAGGAGTTGTATTTAAAATTCCTTAAAAGTTGTTTTGCACAGCAAAAGAAACATCTGATCATGAAATAAATATTCAAAATTATATTCAGATGCTCCTTGGCTTTCAATTACAGTAAAATGTACTATAGTCCATTTATATAAATGTGTTGTCCACGCATAAAGAAAACTTTCTGTATCTACTGTAACACCTTGTAATGAGGCTTTGTCTTCCAATGATCCATGTTCCACCACATATTCCTAAGCAGAATTATTTATCCGTTATGCATTGCATCTGTCCACAACCTTACAGCTCTACAAACCTGCCTAATGGGATCAGTTATTTGACATTGCTTGACACCTAATATTTTTCAATTGATATATATATATAAATTATGTATACAGTATGAGTTGAAAAACATACAATAATTCATTTAGCTTTCAAAATAAGGTTGCAGTTGTTTCCCTAGTAAATAATCATCCAAGCACTGGTTTTCAAAATATGAAGTATAACAGTACAGGCTGACCATTGTTCTGCATTTTTCACAGAGACATATATCCCTAATACAACTAGCACAAATTGCGCCTTCACTGGATCCCATTTAAACAAATGCTATATTTAGCTTTCTGAATATTAGACATTTGTTTATCTTTATAACCTCTCATGATTTAAAATATCACAGCTGTGATTATTGGAAATATTCATCCATCCATTTTCTAGCTCTAACTTTTCTAGCTTTCTAACCACTTTAACCAATACAGGGTTGCTGGGTGCCAGAACCAATCCCAGCAAGCAATTGGCACAAGGCAGGATACACCCCGGACAGGACACCAATCCATCGCAGAGACATAAACATGCACACTCACACTAGAGTCAATTTTCCTAGAATGAAATTATTAGTATGTGTCTGGACTTTGGGAGGAAACTCAGGCAAACAAGGGGAGAACATCCAAACTCCACACAGACAGCATCAGAGGAATTGAACTAGGGTCCCATTATTGCAAGGCAGCAATGCTAACCACTGCACTATAATGCTGGCCCCCATACTCTCTACATATTTTTTCAGTGTTATAGTGAACCTAATGTTTAAAAATATGTATTATATATATATATTATAATAGTAACTAGAAACTGCAATTAACATTCCAAAAATCTGATCAATCTCTTATGTTTAAACACATACAAATTAAGTATACTTTATGGACTGTATTCAACACTGACCTATTCTTTTGAAATAAACCAGTTCCTACCGCTTGTTTACAAAAAGAATAAAAATATTATTTCCCTGGAAAGCCAACTTTTAGACACACAAAACAAATAATTTTCCTATGATTTACTGTAAATGAAAGGTAAAGCATGGACAAGTATTATAGTACATAGGAACAAGTAATAGGTTTATTCCATGCTGAAAAAAGAAGAAAGAGAACACAACGTTTCGGCCATGGAGCCTTCTTCAGGTTTCACACCTGAAGAAGGCTCCACGGCCGAAACGTTGTGTTCTCTTTCTTTTTTTCAGCATGGAATAAACCTATTACTTGTTCCTTTGCAGCCTACGCATGCTGACGCAGCTACCCACCTGAACTATTATAGTACATATACTTGTACACAGTTATATACCTACCTTAAACCTTATGCATATTTTATTATTTTACACAGCAACATTGGAGATCCCTTGATAAAAATATTAGCCTATATACAGATAGTAAATGTCAGGAGTCCACTTTTGCTGGTTACAATAGTGATGCATGTAACACTAATAAAGTAAAAGCAATTTAAACTTCATAATTTTAAAGCAATATATGTTTGTGTATGTTTGCTCAATACATTTAATCTTTTGCAAATACACAGATTTTTCCTCATGTCTGTAACAGTAACAGTTGTATTGTAAAAATTTAAACTATAACCCTGCCATTTTCTTTATGGGGAATGGCAAAAATTTAAAATAATCTGACCTGAATATTTCTGAGAGATGGGTGGTGTCTTTGGGCCAGCAAAGAACATGAAATCTATACAAGAGAAACCACCATGACACCCTGCTGCATTCTCACTGTGAATTCCATCCAAAAACACCATCACAGTAGTTAATAAACTAAACCCAAAGACAGATCCTAACAAACCATGATTTCATCTTTCCTTCAAAAGTTATTCATTCAAAAAAATTAGACAAAATGCCAGAAGAGATGGATAAAATAATGTATCCTATGGTAGATGTACAGTGAGTTATCCTGCCTAATTGCTTTTGTGATTTTTTCCAGGTACTATCACTACTTGTACACTTACTACCTACCAGCAAGCCTTCTCAGCATGGTGGATCAGATGGCCAACTGTGAAGACATCCTAATGAATTTCCTGGTGTCAGCAGTCACCAAACTTCCACCAATAAAAGTGACACAGAAAAAGCAGTATAAGGAAACAATGATGCAGCAGGTACAAATATTGATTGCATTCTTTAAGATTCATTTCACCATCTAGCAAATTCCATATTCTAGTTTTCTCTCTTTTTTGAATATGCACGTTCAGGAGTGTTTATTAAAACAGTGGTTAACAGGATGTTGATAATGAGAACCTTTTAATATAAAACATAACTATGTTCAGTTGGTCTGTACATGTTAATTACTGACAATCGAAAGGAAACCCAAACAGGCTGAATCACACTTAGAATAAGGAAATAAACTAGGAAATATTGAACTCTAGGCAACTCTATTTACCTAGTAAATGTCAAACAAAAATCCACCTAAACACAGTATCACAAACACAAATAGCAAACACTAATTGCTCATTAGGAATTTTCATAATGCTTTTGTTTAAAGTGCAACATACAGTTTGTCCAGCTGTTTCAAGCAATAATAAAAAAGTCTACAGTATATACTGTATACTCTGTGTATGTGCTGTAGGCTTGGTTTCTATAGCAATTGTTTTAATTTCCTTTGTTTTAATTTTTCTTTTTTCATTTCTAAAGCATCTAGATTTCTTCCGTACTTTCCCAGAGAGTCCCAGAGAGTTCAAGTTAATGCTTAAAGTTCATTGTTTAAAAAAACACATTATAGCATTATAATAGTAATTTACAATTGATTCTTAGCTTAAGAATGTTAGCCATACAGAATGAAAATAAGCATGTGAGTGAACAGGATATTGGACCTATCTAGCTCATTTAATTTTTGGTAGCCTATTAAATTGATCTGAGGCTTTTATGCAGCTATTTCTTGAAAGAAAGTATGGTATTAGTTTCAATAACACAGCTGCGTAGCTACTTCTAGACTCCTAGACTACTAGATAGTTTCTGCTTATCCATTTGGTGGAGATGATCAGTGTATTTATAGATTTTGAATACTTTAATCATTTCACGTCATGGTCTTTTATGTCCAAGGCCAAAGAAAAGTTACTGTATATAGATTCTCACTGTAACATATTCTTTTGAGCTCATGAATCTACAGTACATAGTTCAGCAATCTTTTCTATGTATCCCTTACTGTGGTGACCTGTACTGGATACCAAGTTCTTTCTTAGTTGTGCATATTACAATTCGAATTTTACATTCCATGATTAAATATTACCCTTTTAGTTATATATCTTAGTCATATATCCTACAGCCTTTTTATTGCACATTGTATAGAGTATGAATATTATGTGCCAACTTTGACATTGTATGTAGCTTCACTAAGAAGAGTTTTTTTTTTCTGGAAGTATCATTTTTCAGTTTTGTTTTTATAGTTTGTGATTTTGTTAGCTACAAGTAACTCTCTGCAATTGTCATCTCCCAGGAGTTTGTCCACTCTTGAATTTTGTTTACATCTTTTTTAAAATTTGCAGTTTCTACAGTTTGCTAATCATTCTATATTTTGGATCATCTACTGAGTATACCACAAGCTAGATTATTAATACTGTATAAAGAGGAAGTCTGGTGGCTCTGTGGCTAGGGATCTGCACCCATAGCTGGAAGGTTGCCAGTTCATATCCTGTGGCTGGCAGAGGAATCCTACACCTCTAAGAGCTGAGCAAGGCCCTTAACCCCAACTGCTCCAGGGGTGCTGTATAAATGGCTGACCCTGTACTCTGACCCTAAGCTTCTCCCTCTCTGTGTGTCTCATGGAGAGCAAGCTGGGTTATGTGAAAAGATAAGTTCCTTATTGAAGAAATTGTATATGTCCAATGAAGTGATCTTATCTTATCTCTTAAAAAAGAGCAGTGCACTATAAAGAAAAAAGAGCACTACTAATACAGATCACTTTAGTACATCTAATTGCAATATATCACTAGAATCTGACTATTCATCCCTATGTTTTCTGTTAACCACATCTGAATTCAAATACACTACATACATTTCCTTGAATGCCTGACATGCCTCAATAAAGTTTGAGAATCGATCTTTGATTATCAAAACGTTTCTGAAAATCGAAATATACTACATCATATGCTGTGGTTATGTTCATAATTGCTGTTGCTTGATAAAATAAATTTAGCAAAATAGTAAAGCAACCCTTTCTAAATCCATGCTGACAGTCCCAAAGAATCTTGTCGTTTACATGATATGATGCTCTAATTTAGTACTTAAGTTTCCCATTTTTTTCTCTGAGATATTCAGTCCATCTGTGCTTTTGCTGTTGAAACACTGAAAAAAGTTTCTAATATTATATCAATAATCTTTTCTCTCACCCCTTCCAACATTCTTTTGTATCAGTTCTTTTATTTCAGTAAACACATTTTCTGCAGTAATTATGTTATGAACTGTTTTTTTTCTTAAGTGGTTAATTATAAATACATTGAATTTATATATATTTATATATATTAACCAGCTGAGCCGCTGCTTTATAAAGTTATACAGTATATATATAATAGGATTTGTTTGCTTATGATGTCGGGAAACACAGGAATTAATCTGGGCTACAAGCAGACTATGTTAATTGACTGATGACTCTTTCCAGTCATTCTCTTCTAATCTCATACTGTATACAGTGTGTCTCGTGTCCCATTATACTTTTATGCTTGTTTCATTCGTTCATAGTCGGCTTTCCTCAATTTTTATCTGTGTTTTGGATTATAACTATGCAAATTTTACAACATATTTACTCTTAAACCATGTGTTCCCTAACAGTTCTCTCATCTCTGTTTTCCTCATTCTATCTTGAAAACACTAGATCAATATAGGCATTGACTTTTGTAAATTGTCTGACAAAATGAGTAAGAAAGCAGTCATTTGACATCTCTACCATTTCCATCTCTGCAGCTGATATTCCTGTTGGTTTTTCACAGTCTATGTGAGGAATGTTGACACTTCCCAAGAAAATTGATTCTCTCTTTACACATACATCCCTGATTTCATTAATGCAGTAACTTAATTCCTTTAATTTTTTTACCGTCAATGCTGATATTCATGCTTAAGCATATAATTACCTGGTTCTTTGACATTTTATTTTTCTCAGGGGTTTTTATGTTTTACTCCTGATGCATCTCCCCTTGCTGATTTTCTTTAAATTCTCTTCCCTTCCATTCTAGTCTAGGAACTGCTTTGTACGTCCATTCCCCAAAAAGAGTGGTACCCATCTTGTTTATATGCTGTCCTTCGTGTGTGTAATTATAGTCTTTTCTTTGAAAGGGTTCCCATTGATATACTGTAGAAAGCTGAAGCCTTCTTCAGAGAATCATGTCTTCAGCCATGAGTTGAGTTTAATTAACATTTATCAACCTTTCCAGTTGTTCACCTTTAAATGGTGTACAGTAGGTTTTAAGTTTGTTACCAAGGTCTTGGACAACAATAGCCATCTCATGCTGTTGTTGCATACTGTTGTTAACTCTGAATCCTTGATGCAGAGGTCTTGAGAATAGTCTTCAACAACTACTACCTGTTTTGTATGGGACTCTGTTTGAAATGTTGACACTGGTGTCTGATTTTCAGCATCTGTGATGGTTGTGTTCTGGTGAGCTGCTGCCTTGACTTTTGGTTTTATTGTTTCCACATCATAGATTAAAACATATTTGTTTGAAATTGTGGTGAAATTGTTAGGATAGGCTTCTGTATTTTATTTTCTTTGACTTCCAGGGGCTATCTTTTACATTCTGTTTTGCTGTAGTTTTGTTCTGACAGGAACTGACAAATCCAACTCATGGTGCTGGATCGGATAGAGTAGCTCTATCTCAAGTGCATTTGCAGAACTGAATTTCTGGGCAGTTTTAACAGATGTTTAAGCTGTTGTTTAAACTAAAAGAAATTCCAGTATTTCTATATATTACACAAGGTACAAGGTGGAGATGTAGGGGTTTTGAGAGAATTTACTGGCACAATGTTTGTACCTTGTGTAACAATAAATTGTGTGAGCTTACTTTGGCTATAAGGAATTAGCTGGCACACATAATACATTTATTGATATACATATAAAACAATGTTTACATAAAAACATTCAGGGTAAATACATGAGAGTCTGCCAGCATACAGACGGCAGCTCGTTACGTGAATAATCAAGCGATGGCAAGTAGGAAGAAGAGATACATCAAAACAAGGATAATGCGTTTAGTATACCATTGGTTACACTTTCAAGTCAGATTTATTAACATAATCAACATTCAGATGCTCATATGTAAATGCTACTTAAATGAATTAAATTTATATCAACATGTGTTAACAAAACAATTGATTTCTCAAGGGCAGTCATGATGAATATTGAAGTATACTCATCCAGAACCATGGATTCATAGCTCCTGTGCAGAAGGATGGAGAAACAGCTGACTGGGTCCATCACAATGCTGTCCAATGCATGCTCTGCAGGCTTAGGCAGCTTGAGGTATCAGGGAGAGACATCTGCTGTAGCCTAGCACTGACAGTCGATTCCCTCAAATGAATTGTCCAGGTCAGCGCTGAGATGAATAGGGTGTTTAGTCAGTGCAAGTCACACAATAAGGAGAGAAACTCGGTTTGCTCCTGGCATAGTGACTCTTGCTGAATAAGGCTATATTCAAGCATAGTAGTTCAGGTGGGTAGCTGCGTCAGCATGCGTAGGCTGCAAAGGAAAGCAATAGGTTTATTCCATGCTGAAAAAATGAAGAAAGAAAACATGTTTCGGCCATGGAGCCTTCTTCAGGTGTCACACCGAAACGTTGTGTTTTCTTTAATCTTTTTTTCAGTATGGAATAAACCTATTGCTTGTTCCTATATTCAAGCATGTCAACAAAAGTCCAACCGTATGAAGATATGGATGCATGGTGGTTGCTAACTGGTCATGAGGTCCTGCAGCAGACTACACATCAAGCAGAATTCTGTCTTAGCGTACAGTACAGGCTCACTTACTTGGAGAAAAAAAGTCCCAAAGAAAATATGGTCGTGACTGGGCAAGAATTTCACAAGGTGGAGAGGGTTCCCACGCCCTGCAGATGATTGACCATGTCTTGTGACTTTTAAGATTGTGTTCAGATGCGCCTATGCTATCTGCTAGACA